AATCTAAATTTATAAGTTATTTAAAGAAGATAATAGAGAAAACGCTAAAGTAAATATATTAGAAATAATAGTTCGTAGTTAATAAGAACTCGCGAGATATCTTTATTTTAGATATTAATAAGCTTTTTATTAGCGAGCGATTATTATTAAAATATATTAGACTAAAATTAAGTTTAGATTTTACTATCTTTATAAATAATAAAGTTAATAAAAAAATTTTAATAATATAATAAAAGGTTAAAGAGAAAGAATTTAATATAAAAGGAAAAAGAAAGAATACTTTATATATATAAGCGAATATCTTTATCGCTTTATATAGTAAGAATTTCTCTTAGATAAATCTAATCTCTTTCTTTTTATTTATCTTCTATAATAATAATCTTTATAATATCTACTTCTAATTAATAATAATAAAACTTATTCTTAAATAGAATTTATATATTATTCTTAAATATAAATAGCTTAATATTAAGCTAGTCTATCGATTTTATATCGAAGACTAATATAAGATATATATACTTTTATAATAATTCTAGCGAAAGATAATAAAAGCGCGAAGGGGGTTAATTAATATAAAGATATATTTAAAATATAAATAAATTTTATATAGATCGTTAGTTTCTATAACTCGAAAGACTTAAATTAACGAATAGATGATATAATAATATTATCTATAAATAATATTAAGAAGAAGATTTAGATCTTTAAAGATATTAATATAAATAAAGATATTATTTATTTCGCTAAGAAAGATAAAAGGCGATATATAAATAACTTAACTCGTTTATTAAATTATTAAATTATAAAATAAGAGACTAAATCGAAAAAGAATAACGTTTTTAATAATTATTTTAAAAATTTATTATTTAAGAATATTAAAGATATAATCTAGATATAGAAGTAATATTTATAAGATTACGAAATTATCGATATAAAATAATAGAAGATCGTATATACTTAGATTAATAATAAGATTTATATTCTCTATCTTATATTAGAAAATAAAATTATTATTATCTCTTTTATCGAATTAATTAAAAATTTAATAATATAAATAATTAAGTTTAATAATTAAGTATTAATAAATTAGAATTTTTAGTAAAAATTTTTAAATTAGATAATTAGTAAGAGAGAGTCGCTTAGGTTAATAAATAATATTTTAAATACTAATTATAAAGAATTCTAGAAGTTTTAAAATTATATTAATTCTTCTAGTATCGTCTCGCTTAGCTATATTAATATATATATACTTCTAAATATAAATCTCTTTAAGTTATTTCTCGAGTTTATTTTAATTATTATTAATAAATCTTAATTTATATTATTTCTTCTATTATATTAGATATAGATTATTATCTAGCTTTTTATTATTTATAACTTACTTCTTTAAAGAGATATTCTAAGTAATAAAATAGATTTAGATAAGACTATTATTATATTAATATTTCTTATTATTTATATAAGATATTAATTTTTAATATTATTTATAGATAATATCGATCTATTATTATTTTAATTAAATCTATTATTAAAAGCTATTTATAATAGAGAAGATATTAATAATAATAATAAAGATTATAATAAGAAAGACTATAGTAAGAATAATTAGAATAAAAAAATATATAATAATTTAATTAAGTAAGATATTTCTTATTTAAATATCTTAATTTAATTTAATAAAAAATTATATATATAAAAGATAAATCGTTTAATATCTAAGCTAAGTAAGATCTAGAAATTATTTATATATATTATTAATCGAAAATATAAGACTATACTTATTCTCGAATTCTTATAGAAATTAGATATTTAAAAGAATAAGAAGCGTCTTTATTTCTCTTAATTATCGATAAAGTAATTCTATAGCTCTATCGAGAAAAGTAATATTTATTATTAAGCCTAGATCTTAGATATCTCTATTATCGATCTTTTAATATATTTTAATTCTTTATCTAATAATCTTAGTACTTTACTTATTACTATTCTAAATAGCTATATTATTTAGATTTATTAATTAATATATTAAGATTAAGATATTAAAATTATATATTTTAAATTTTCGAAATAAAAGATATAACTCGCGACGTTTTTAAAAATTAATTATAAAGATGATAATATAATTAATAATAATAAAATTAATATAAATAAAAATAAGCTTAATCTTATTTATTTATTCTATTTAAATATATTTATAATAATTATAGAAGATAAAGTTTAAAAGCTAAAAAGTCTATTTATAATTATATATAAATCGATTATAGATTTATATACTATATATTATATTCTATTAATAATAATCTTTATAATTAATTATTTATTAGACTTAATTAATCTTTTATTATTCTTTTAAAATAAAGATTAAATTATTTATAATTTAAAGTTTATTAATATTAATAATTATATCTCTATTAAATTTAATATCTATAATTAAATATTATTTATAAATAATATTAATAAGTTCGTTTAACTTATTAACTCTAAAATCTTTAAATTCTAAATTATTTTAGATAAAGAGCTTAATTTTCTTTCGACTTTTTTCGCTAATCTCTTTATTTTATTAATTCTTTTTCTTATTTAATTAAAGTATATTATTATAAGTTAAATCGATAATATCTTTAATAAGAACTCTTATCGAATTAATATAAAGATCTTTTTAATATATTAATTTACAATTAAATTTTAATAAAATAGATATAAGTTATAAAAGTATATTAAGCTTTATTTAATATATACTTAATTCTTTAATCTAAGATTTAATAAAGCGAAAGAAATAGATTTAAAAAATATAACGTTATATTATAAATTATATCTAAAAATTATAAATAATAATGTTATTTCTATCTCTTTTAACGATAATAGACTTATTATTATTAAGAAATTTTATTATAAATATAAAGATTATAACGCTATCTACTTTTTTAATATAATTAAAATTAATTTAGATATATTTATTTATCGCGATTATACTAGTATAGCTTACTATCTTATATATAATTTAATTAAATTATTTTATATCGCTAATCTCATTTATTAGATCTATAATAAGAATAGTTAAAAGATTATTATTTTCTATAATTAACCCTTTATAATATAACTAATAAAGATTCTTTTAATAATTCTAAGATTTAATATTATTAATATTTATATAAAATATAGACTTAGAGATTAAGAGATAGCGATTTACTAATTTAATAATAAGAATTATCTTATATAAATTTTAATTATTAATATTAAAATTAGCGCTATCTTAATTAATCTATAAAAGAATTACTTAAATATAATCTTTATAGATATATTATTAAATATATAATTAACTCTATAAATCGATATACGTATTATTTAAATTAAGTAGAAAAATATCTATAATATCTTTATTCTTATTAATAATTATTTCTATAATTAAGTTCTATAGATTATAATAACGCGTAAGATAATTAATATTATCGCTATTTATATTAATAAGAATTTTATTAATATAAAAATTAAGACGCGCTCGATATAATATCTAAAGCTTAATAATAATAAAATTCGAAATAAGCTTATAAATAAAGTCTATATAAAAGACTATCGAATTATATTTAAATAATATTTATAATAAGATTAATAAACTAATATATATGATTTAATTATAAAAAATAATTTATTAGATAAATAAGCGTTTAGAGAGAAATAATAACTATTAAAGAACGTCTAATTATAATCTTAATCTTATTTTAATAAGTTTTTATTAATATTATTTATAGATAATATTCGCTATTTATTTTACTAATTAATATATAGATATACTAATTAAATTAGCTAAAGAAAAAACGCGAATATAAGAGAAGAAGTTTTTAGATTTAACGGAGATAATGTTATAAATAACTATTATATTATTAATATTAAAAGATTCTTAACTAGTATTTATATCTACGTCTTTCGCGAGCTTTATCTTTAAAAAATACTTAGTCTTAGAGATCTTCTCTTTAAATTAAGATCTCTTCGATAATAAATTATTAAAAGAGCTCTTACTCGTATCTTCTTATATTTATTATCTTTTAATAATATTAAAATCTTTATATAAAAGCTAATAAATATTAAAGTTAGAAAACTAATAGTATTAAGAATAATTAAGTTTAAACTTATAGCTTTTAAATAAAATAAGAATAAATTATTAAATAAAAAGTTCGAAAAGCGAAAAAGCGTTAATTTTACTTTAGATCTTAATCTTACTAATTTTATTAATCTTAATTTTTAATCTTTTAAAAAAATTCGTTAAAATATAAAAAAGGCTAATTAGAGCGATAAAATAATTAATAATTATAATAAAAATAATAAGAGAAGTAATTATTCTTAAAGACTTAGAGTTATAAAGCTTTTTTTTTCTTTTTCTTTTTTTTCTCGAAGTATATATATTTAATATAGATAAGAGAATTATATTATTTATAAATAATATCTATCTATTAGTTATTTATTATCTTTATTTAAATAGTCTAAATACTAAAATATCTATAATAAAGTATTTTTAGAATATATAATAATTAGCGAATATCTTATAAGCGATTCTTTTTAATAGAGATTATATTATATTTTCGATTTTATTAATATAATTTTTATAATCTAGATTAAGATTAATATAATAAGTATTTTTATAATATAAAAATAATCTTTAATTAATTCTTAAATAGATCTTTTAATAGATCTATTAACTATTTTAATATTATATTATTCTTAATTAATTATTATTCTTTTCTTTTTATAATAGCTTATCTTTTTATTAATATATAATTATTATAATAATTATTAATTTAATTTATAACGTATTCGCTAATTTTATTTATAACTTATTCTTATATTATATAGATTATAATCGTTTTATTTAACTTTAATATCTTATATCTCTTATTTAATAATAAAGTATTATATATATATAATTATTATCTTTCTTATCTACGCTATAGACTTTTAAAAGAAATTTAGATTTAGATTTAGATTTAGGGTTACGTTCTCCGCCAGCGACAATGGCGGCGCGTCCTACTATCCCGTCGGCGGCCTGAGCGGGGCGGCGAACACCCGGGCCACTGTGGCGTCGGCGGACGGCAGTTACACGTTCTCCGTGGCCGGGCGCACGGCGATCCAGATCGCGGTGAGTGTCGCCGGCACGGGGAGCATCACTGCGGGCTATACCGCGAGCGCGGGCGTGCGCGTGGTCACGCTCGACAGCTCGCCGGCGAGTCCCGTGTTCACCCAGGACGGCAACGCGGCCGCGGCCATCGTGCACCGGGTCGTGCTGACCCAGGCGCAGGTGCCGGTGCCGGCGGCCGTGAGCACCCTGCTGCTGGCGGCCAACGCGAACCGCAAGTCGCTCAGGATCAGCGGCACCAACGCGGGCGACAGCTTCCGGCTGGGCTACGGGACGGCGGCGACGGCGAGCAGCAGCGCGCTGTTCGGGTCGGGCGGGGTTTTCGCGGCGGAGCAATGCGGGCCGGGCGACGGCGTGCCCACCGGGGCGATCTACGGCTACAGCGCAGCGCGCCTTCACGGCCCAGGTCGGGGAGGGCAACTGATGCTCGGTCGTCGAAGCCTGATGCTGTCTGCCGCCAGCCTGAAGCTGCTCGGGGCCGAGGCGATGGCGGCGCTGCCGCCCCCTCCGGGCCGCACGCGCTCGCAGCTGGGTGCGCGGCAGGCGCTCGTGCCGATCGGGTTCCGCGGGCGTGGCGCCAACGGCTCTGCCGCGTACTACGATGCCACCTCGACGACGAGCATGGATCAGACCGCCTGGTGGACGCCGCCAGTGGGCCAGGTCACCGCGATCCAGCTCGTCTATGCCGCATGGGACATGCCGCAGTCCGGCGAGGCGGACCGCCAGGTCACGGCCAGCCTGACCGCGGCGCTGAGCTTCCCGACCGTGCCGGCGATCACCGTCAGCTCCAGCGCGGCCCAGGCCGGCGGGCCACCGTGGAGACGTTCCATGGCACGCTGCTGGGGGTCAACGGGATCAGCCAGGGTGCGGCCGTCACCAGCTCCGGCGGCGGGATCGCGGCCGGCACCTACGTCGCCTCGGCGCCGCTGTCGTCGGCGGCGGGGCGGGCAACAACCCGGGCACCACCACGGTCAACCTGAGCGCCGCGACCACGGCGGCGACCGCGGCCGGCCAGCCCTACACCTTCACCGGCAGCATCGTGCCGGTGACGTGGAAGGGCGACGCACGCTGACGATCGCGCCCAGGCACGGGGACTACCGGTCCGACTTCATCGCCTGCAGCCCGGCGGCAGGCTCGCAGTTCCTCGTGCGCAACTTCGCCAGCTTCTCCGGGGCGGGGCTGCAGCTCATGGACTATCCGGGCGTGCAGTCCGGCACGGCGACGCGGCTGGGCGGCGGAGTTCTCCGCGCGCGGCACAGGGCAGACCGACCAGACGCTGAATCCTTCGATGCTGTCCAACACCGGTGGCGGCTATTTCTGCCCGGTGGCGATCCTGGCACTGGTGACGATGCCGGCGGGGGTCGCCGCACCGGGCGCCGCGCTGCTGCTGGGCGACAGCATCGATGCCGGGACCGGCGACAACTCCGACGGGACGTACGGGTGCATGGGCTACATGCAGCGCAGTCTGGCGGCACGGGGGACAACCTTCATCAGCGTGGCACGCGGCTCGACCCACGGCGTTCGCGGCCTCCGTGCAGGAGCGGGGGCAGGCGGCGCTGGCGATCGACAGCGGGATCACCGACGTGTTCCTGGGCTTCGGGCGCAACGACATCGAGATCGGCAGGCTGCCGGCCACGGCGGTGATGAGCGCGCTGGCCACCGACGCCGCGCCGTTCCTGGCGGCGCGGCAGCGGCGCGTGTGGGCGTGCACCGACCCGCCCACGACCTACAGCAACGACGGCTACCTGACCGCGGCGAACCAGGCGTTCCCCGTGGCGACCGCGAGCACCACGGCGACGGCGACGGCGAGCGGCGGCACGACGCTCGCGATGGCCAGCGTCGCCAACCTCGCGGTGGGCCAGCTCGTGTGCCCGTCGGGCAGCGGCACCGGGCCGATCTCGGCGGGCACGACGATCAGCAGCGTGGGGACCGCCAGCATCGTGCTGTCCCAGCCGCTTGCCGCCACGCTTGCGGCGTCGAGCCCGCTGTGTTTCGGGGCCGCCAGCGCTTCAGCCTCGCCGGTCGAGGTGCAGCGTGTCGCCAGGAACGCGAGCCTGCTCGGCAGCTACACGTCATGCGGGTATGCCGGCGTCGTGGACCTGAACGGCGTGGCATCCGACGCGACCGGCCGCTGGGTGGTGCCCTCGGTCAACGGCACGGTCGTGGCGGGCACGGTTGACGGCGTGCATCCTTCGCCGACCGTGCACCAGCTCGCGGTCGCGGCCGGGATCGTGCCGGTGTCGAGCATCGTTTCCTAGCAGGGCCGCATCGGCAGGGTGGCGGAACGCCCGCGCCGAAGTTTGCGGTGGGGCAGAACTTGCGGGCGAACGGGCCGTTGTGTCGCCGGCATTCTGGGGAACACGGCGATGAGCATTTTCGGTTCGATCATGTCGGCCGTCTTCGGCACGCATCCGGCGGCAGCGGAGGCCGCTCAGGCAGGAACGGCCCATCAGAGCCCGCCTGCGGCCTCTGATGCTGCTCCCGCCGCCGGGGATGCGTCAGGCGCCCAGCCGGCGCCTGCGAGTGTCGACGTTGCCGAGGTGTTGACGGCCAAGGCGGCCCAGGCTGGGCAGACCCTGGACTGGAGCCATTCGATCGTTGATCTGATGAAGCTGCTGGGTCTTGACAGCAGCCTTGCCGCGCGCAAGGACCTGGCAGGTGAGCTGCATTACACGGGTGACACGAACGACTCTGCGAGCATGAACGTGTGGCTGCACAGCGCGGTCATGAAGAAGCTTGCGGAGAATGGCGGCAAGGTGCACGGACGATCTTAAGGGCTGAAAATTTCGGCAGTCGCCTAGAGCGCTGGCTCCACGTGACGGATCTGTCCTGGGTCAACGCTTTCGTGTCGTAAGGTCACTGATAGACGAACATTTCACATCGGTCGGTTTGTGCGCCAGGAACAAGGATGTCAGCTCGAGATCATGTCTAGGCTTGAAGCTCACGTGAGGTGATTTCGTATCTGAACTGTGCAGGGTCAAGGCAGTCAGGCTGACCTGCAGAAGTGAAGGCGCATGGGTATATCAGGAACGCGAAGTTCGGGCGTCGAGAACCGGAAGCCGGAAGCTCGATGTCGGTGGCGCTGTTGTAGCCGATCCAGTTCATCTCCCCATTCGCCGAACAGCCGTTCTCGCAGCGCACGGGGAAGGTCCGCGTCCTCGGCGAGGTTCTGCTGCAGGATCACCTTCCGGACGTCGGCAGGGTCGACGGGAAACCATCCCTCGTTCTCCAGGAAAACCTCGGCGCGGCAATGCTGGGCCTTGCTGATGTCGCCGTCCTGGCCGAGCGATGCTGCCAGATCCGAGGCGGCGACCCGGATGCCATACATCGCGGGCGGGAAGGCCGATCGAGCGCGCTAGGCCGACC